CTGGACACCAGCCATTGCAGAAAAGGGCGAAAAGGACGAAAAAAGGGCCGAAACTCTCGTGATCACTCAATTTGTACTAAATATGACGTATATGGGATGAAATACTCTTGTTGGTCACCTGTCCTGTCTGTTACCCCCTGGAGGTGCAACTTTTTACTTCCTTGTGACCCCCCCTTTACTACCCAGCACCCCCAGCGTGGCACACAAGAGCCAGCAGTGGCCTTGGCCACTGCAGGAATAAATATCAGCAAGAGCCTTTCTGCATCCCAGTCCCAGGCAGTGACTGCAAACATCAGGGGTTATCACTGCCAGTAGCACACACTGTCTGCAAAAGCATGCTGCCAACCTCAGAAAATATAGCCTTTTAGAAAAACTGAAAGTAAAAATCACTAAATAGGACTGGGTTTTTAGTTAAACCCAGGACAGTGAATGCCTTACAGAACACTTTTTTGCAACCAAGCGTGTTTTACTGCATCTGTGTCTTACACCACTGCCACCATCCTCAAAGTCTTTCACATCCCATATACGATTCTCTTGTGAAGCTGGGTTTGAGGAAAATATTCTTGAAGTAGCAGACCAACAAATTCAGTTCTTTGCAAGTAAGACCTTGTTGATCAGTGGCTTGCTTTGAGATGGGTAAGTAGATACTCTTGCTTTGTCAGGGTTGCTTGACAACCTGACCAATCCTATCTTGCAAAGCAAAATATCGTGTGGCTCAACCGATTTGCAATACCTGCCCGGAAACCCATCAGGAGAGAGCAGCAAAGGGTGTTCTTTGCTACGTGGCTGATGCTGGGATAGCTTTCGCTGAAATGCCGCTAAAGGTGTGTTGTCTGTTCTGATCTCGTTGCTAGCATGTCTGGGTGCTTTGGGTGGGTACAGTGATTGTTGGGATTTTTTCTTTTGCTTTGGAATGTTGTATTTCAGCACACAACCTGGAACTTCTTAATCTTCTGTCTGAAGGTAAATATTAGCTTGTCTTGTGTTGTAGATCATACCTACGTGCCTCTGCTCCTTCCCTCCAGCTGAATCACTTGTTAAACAGCCAGCTGCTCGTGGCCATGCGCATCACCACCCATACTCCTTGTGAGAAGGAGCTGAGAGCAAATAGTTTGTGGAGCAAAGGAAAGCCAGCAGCTTGCACTGTCCAGGCTGGATGGATATAAATAGCCTCTTGTAATCCATTTTGGTCCTTGTCTTGGGAGCGTGGTGGATAATTACCTATAAATCTCTGTCTTGGGTGCTGTTGCTAGGTTGTGCTACACAGCTCCTCTCATACCTACATAACCTTTAGCTTTTCCTACTGTAGGAAGCAAGATTCCCAGATGTGAAGGAGGAATACATAGAAGAGCTAATCAGCATCAAGAACTGCTATGACTTAAATGTGTAAGTACAGAGCTAAAAGCCAGAGTGTGTCATGCAGCCAGTCACACTTCCCTGTCCCCATCTGCTAGTGACACTGTTCTAGAGCATATCCAGGCTGAGAGTCAGCACTTTGGTGATAGTGCCAAAGAGCAGGGAATTATTTTTTCTTTCTAATACAGCTTTTCTCAAATTCTGACATGGTGCTGTAGCTTTTCTGCCTTTAAGATCATTTGCTTCTTTGAAGATATTCCTCTTGCCTGTTGTCAGGGTTCATGAAAAGGGTGGGGGGTCATGATTAAGGTGTTGAGGTGACGTACTATGGAGGTGGTGGGTTGGTGAGTTCTGAATTGGAGAAAATAGTCTCCTGCCCCTTTGTTTCACTGGCTCTTGGCTTTTTCCAGGGAAAGCTGACCTATTTTGGACTCCCTTATTTAGTGTCAGGATGTTGGCTTTTATCCCCTTTACTTAATCAAGTAGCAGTGGTACTGTTTGAGTTCTTTCACAGGCAGACTAGAGCAAACCTATTTAAGGGCTGATAGGATTGATTCTAGGTATCCATTGAGGGACAGATTTTGGTCAGATTTTTGAGCAGAAATGTGAAACAAAAAGGGGAGAAAAAAAAAAAAAGAGCGGAAAACCAGCATGAGGACTTGCTTTCCTGATTGTGTTAGCACCTCAAGAATACTGTAGTGTTCGTCATGCTTGGTGTCTCCCGGAGTCATGTTAGAACCAAAAGTTTAACAAAAAAGTCGTTAACTTCGTTGATAAGTTGCATCATCTCCCTCCCCTTTCAGTAAAGCTTGCCCAGCCAAAGAGCGAAGGATCGCGTGTGTTGGCAGCGGCAGCGCAGAGGGGAGAGCGGTTTGAAGTAAATCACTTGTGACTTGATTCTGATGCGAGGTGGCCCCTCTCTCTCTGACTGTCACTGCTGTCTCAAACATGTTGAAAGTAGTTTTGCTGTGATACAAGAATGAAGAACAGGTGTTGGTTGCCAGAGTGTTCACTCTATCTTGTATGAATCCGATGCCCTTTCCAGTTAACTAGGGCACTAATTAAGCCGTGTGTAAGTGCAGGAGGCTTAGAATTAGTTATTGGGCCATGAATAAGTTAACTGGCAAGGAGCTAAGGATGCATGATCCCATCCACGGGGCATAGATTTCTTATTCTGCTGCCTTTGCCTTTGTTAAGTGGTGTCCCCAAAGTGGGTTTTTTTGGTTTAGAAAGTCATTGAGATAACTTCTTGTCTTCGGAGAGCACTTTCCCTGCATGGGCAGCACGAGAGAAGCTTTTTGGGTGCCGGCACCGTGTACGTGGTGCACCTTGGCGTAGATGTTTGGACTGGGAGTGTGGAAGACTGGTAGGGCCATTCCTGGGGGCTGTTGCAGTTGGGCTTCTGGCTGCAGGACCCTCTCACAGATTGCGTGGAAAAAACCCCCAACATCGTTATTGTGTCCTCATAGAATTAAATCCCAGTATTGGCTTCTATCCATCTTAATGTGTTCCTTCCCTTTTTGCTCCCAAAATCTCTTCTCTCCTATTGTGTGCTGCAGACCCAGTGAGATGAAAAGGTGCTTACAGGCTTCCCTGTAGGCATCTACAGTGTCTGCTCAGTGGTGCGTTACCCACTTACTGGATGATAAAGATTTCTCCTCCATATTTTTATTCCTTTACCCAAACTATCTTTTGAGTTGTCACTGCGCCTTTTGTGCGAGAACAAATGGGTCAAAGCACTGGTCAGCCTCGCTGGCAGGGTCGCTTTGATCTCCGTGGTGTGTCAAGCTGAATCAGGCTTGAAATATCATAAATAAGAGTGGCTGGATTTGGACAGGGATGAGGCTTTTAAGTGGCTCCGTGTCCTGCGGTGCAGATATTAATGAACAGTGCCGCGAGTGTGCGTGCGTTGCGCGCCGGGACCCACTTAACTAATTGTCAGGCGCTGAAGGTTAACATCTCTGCAAATCCTGAGCGTCGAAATGGCAACCTGCAGACTATTTCAAATGTGTTCTGACTGTGCCCCAGCTGAAACCCTCGCGCTTGAGCCGCAGTGATTTGAGCTCCTTGAAGTTTCTGTTCGGTTAGATTAAAACAGTTATCATTTACAAAAGGGATACAGAGGGGGAGGAGGGCTGGAAGCTATTAAATGCTCAGTGCCCAGATATTTTGTTGTTTTCCTGAAATGATTGTCTTAAAACTTTCAACTGATGTGAAAGATAAGATGTGGGAGCTCCTCTTAGCAGGGTATCATCTATTCAGCTTTTGTGTGCAGGAGCATTCACACTCAGTCAAAAGCTTCTGGCTCAATATGTCAATACCTGATTAAACAAAAAGAAATGCCTCTGCTCTGAATGTGAAAGCAGGGCTAAAGTAATCATGCCTTGATAGTGGGTTAAGGCTTCGAGCCAGTTCAGATTTCTTAATTAGGGACTGATTTCTGACATCAGGAATGTAAATTAGCCGCGATTATGTCTTTGCTGCAACCTCGCACCATCTCCTTCAAAAACTTTTACAAATGTTAATTGCTTGTCCTAGCCCCTTTCAGAAGGATGTTATTCTATAGCCCGGGAAACTGAGGAACAGCTTATGTTACTTGACCCAGCTAGCACAGCCCGTTAGTGGTGGCTGAGAATAAGCTGAGAAAGTCTGATTCAGACAGATGGCCTGCAGCAAGCTTCGCTTTCAAAAGGGCTTCTGAAGTATTTGTGGATCTCGGGCAATGGGGAATTGTGAAACTGCTTGCTACGGTCTTTTCTGAGCTGAAATACTCAGTTAAACTAAATTTACCTGACAATTGTGATTGTTCGGGATAGGACCTCAGGTATGCAACTTCTTCAGCAATTTATTTTAGTGATTATTTTCTAAACGCTATTCTTGCTAGACCAGTTTCTAGTGGAAGTTGGATGATGCTGGTGGGATTTCAAGCTCTATTACAATGAAACCTATATTCAGAGTGTGCATTGTATGTAAACAAAGTTTATCACATTTCTGTCTCTGCTCTAACATGAAAGTAGACCAAGTCTGGAGGCTTTAATTCAAATCTTAATGATCTTTTCCAATCTAGACAATTCTGTGATTCTGTAACTAAGAAATTTGAATCTGTAATCTTTTGCTGATGAAGACATCAAGCCTTCGCAGATTTGTTAGGGGTTTGTATGCTACTTTTCCCGTAGATCTATTTGTATTGGCCACAGCAGATGACAGCTGGATTTCAGTTAATGCTGCTAGCTTTGTGATTGTTCGTTCTTGTAGTCTCCATCACTTTAATTCCAGCATAGCGGACAGTTAGCACGCCTCAGTTGTGCAGGATTTGACATGTGCTCAGGGCAGGTACTGCTTTACGTGGTTTGACCCGTGGTGTGAGTGGGGAGCTAAGCCTAATTGTTCACCTCTGGCATGGAGAGGTGTAAGTTGGTTAGTAGCTCACCCAGAGAAGTTTCCTGCGCGTAAATGTAGTTGCTGGAAGTCATATCTACTTGCTTTTCCTTCTGCAGTCATAGAGCCAATCATTCTTAACTTAATTCTGGGTTATTTACTTGCCATTTGCTCTAGCCTAGGACCTCCCTAGGTCGTAACAGGGCAAGCTGTGACTTGCCTGCCTGGCCTCATAATTATAGGATACTAAAAAATGGACAAGCGAGGGGTGAACCTGAGCTCCCAAACCTTGAAGTAACTATATTTATCTTTACAGGCTTTGTAACTTTCTTTTGGAAAATCCAGATTACCCAAAGAAGGAAGGCAGAGTGGTTTTAAATCCCAGCAGCAGCCTGCTTGCCAGCCAAGATGAGACAAAGGCAAGTGATCATCTTGTATCCTCACCTACAGGGTGCCTCGCGTCCAGCCTGTTCAGCCTGAGCACACCTCGGGACCTTAGGATGTCTGGTTCTCTGAGTGCCTTGAGCCAGTAAAGGTGTTCACCCTTCCTGGTAGCCTAAGTGTGTTCTCTCCTGCCTGTCCCATGCACTGTGGCTTTAAACTACGTGTGGTGAGGAGCAGAGCATAGACCAGAAGGCTTCACACCTGTGCTATGCTCTGCCCTCATAGATGGGTGCTCAGAACTGGGTGCTGCATAACCTGATTTTTGGATGGTCTTGCAGAAGGGCCTGGTCACTGAAAGAGTGGATTGGGGTGTTCTCGTGTGTGTTCACGGAAGCCTTTTTATATGTCTCACGTTTTTCTCCTTAGGTGCCTAAAGTGGACTACTTTGACTTTTCCAAACTTGCCCCACTTGATCAGCGGTGCTTTATTCAGGCGGCTGACCTCCTCATGGCAGACTTCAAAATGCTGAGCAGCCAAGACATTAAGTGGGCGCTACATGAACTCAAGGGACACTATGCAATCACACGAAAGGTTCTCCAGTTCAAGTCTGTTTTCTTTCCAAGGCTTATCTCCAGTGTCTATGGAGAGCAGCACGATGTCTTTTGCTTTGCTTTACCATCTACTAGTGTGTGGTTATGGGATTTTTAAATAATCTTCCTTTTCTTTTAAGAAGTATTAATCCATTTAGTAGAGACTTGCAAAATTTATTGGCTGGACAGAATGCTGCAGGAAGTTCTTATTTTAATGGGGGAAGTGGGGAAATGCTAGCTAGTTGATGGTAGGTGATGCGTTAAACTGAGAAATGTTCCTGTACGTTGCTGCTAGAGTGCAGCATAATTGCCAATAAAGCCTAAACATTTAGTTAAATCTTAAAACATTTAACTGCTGCTATTAGTTAAGTGACTGCATGTAACTGGAAAGAAGCCCAAGTCTCCCTCCCCTGTTTCTTCTTATTATGACTTGTGGAATGAGTCATATATTCCTCATAAAAGACTTTCACTGTAATGAAGCTGCAAAGACACTTGTTTTAACTATCAAAAAACTGAATGTAATTGTGGCTTCTCCTCTCATATGCTCCTTTTGCTTGAGCTTTTTTCTCTTACTATTCCAGGACTTAACTAACAACCTCCTTGTCTCTTCGCTTGCTCGCTTGAGCACTGAGCGGTTGAGCTTTGTTTTGAAATAAAATACTGAACCTACCACCAACAAAAAAAAGCCATGCCAGCTCTGTTGCGTCAGAGTGGGCACTAGCTGTATTGGAGTTAATGGCTGAGGTGTTGTGAAGCATCATTCAGCTGTTTCGTTTTTGTGGAATGAATGCTTTAGGAGTAAAGAAAGCAACAAGATGAGCAAAGGAAAGAGGTGCACTTGCCTCTAAGGGGGATGTTTGACTTTCCGCTTTTGGATCAGTCTTATACACACGTTTGTACTGTGCTTGGATTTGAAGTATGTGCTTCTGCTTTCTTCCAGGAACAGGCAGGATTTAAGTCTGTGTGTTGTTTTCTAGGCCTTTTCAGATGCTATCAAAAAATGGCAGGAGCTGTCTCCCGAAACCAGTGGGAAACGAAAAAGGAGGAAAGAAATGAATCAGTATTCTTACATAGACTTCAAGTTTGAGCAAGGTAAGTACCAGGCTGTATGTATGGTGCTCCCTGCATCGTTATGGTAAACAGAACTGGCTTGCAGCAGAGAGTACTGTGCAGAAAGTACCAGAAAAGGGACGTGGTCCCAATACAGCAATGTTTGTCACTGTCTGGTATCTCTTTTGGAGATATTCGTCGTTAGTACCTCTGCTTGGTACAGTGCCCAAGTTAAGCAGCTGGTGACGTGTGGAGAAAGAAGGATTTAAGTTTTGTTCTGGCTGCTGCATTTCATTGTGCCGTTGACTCTGCTTTTAGGGGATGTGAAAATTGAGAAGCGCATGTTCTTCCTGGAGAACAAGAGACGGCACTGGAGGTCCTATGACAAGCTCTCTCTTCTCCCACCGGTGCTACTGGAGCAAGAATTCTATGAACAGAAGGTTAAAGAGATGGCAGAGGTGAGTGGTAGGAGCTGCTTTGATCTTGTGGTGGGAACAGCTTCAACTGCTCTAAAGGTCTTGGCCCTAAAGGTGGAAATCTACCTCTTAGAGAAATTCAAATGCTGAACAAAATAATATAGAATAGCTGACTACCTTTGCACTTTACTACACATTCACATGTACTACTTTTCCCAGGTAGCTCAATTTTAAGGGAAAAAGCCAAGCACAGAGTTTGATGTTTACTTAAATGTATAGCTGCCACTTTTGCAAACATTGTTCTGGATGTTTTTGGCTACAGAGTAGTCAAAGCTCTGCTAATTAATTCTTTCCTCTAATTGTTAGCAGGCTTCTCTGCTGTTCTAGGGCTTGTAATTGCAGCTCAGCATTGGTGATGAATAATGACCAGGCCCAGGGCAGTGTGTCCACTCACTCAGCCTTCCACAGGTTGGCAGTCCTGTGTCTCCAGAACGTTTTGTCCTGTGCTGAGGACCATGTGTTTTGAAGCAGAACCCTGCAACACTCGCTGGTGTGTTGTCTTCCCCTCCTAGTCTGAGGAAGAACTGAGTTCACAGCTCTGCACCTACAGTCCTTTCTAAAGTAGCTTCTAAAAAGATTGTTGTCTCTTAGGCAAATGGATAATGTCTCCTTTTAAACACCAACCTAATGGTCCCTGGGGCTTTATCTGGAGGGTCTTGTTGGGTGAGATCACCTCTGCCCGTGGAAACCTGAGCCAGGAGCCCTTTAGAATACAGAATTCAGTTCTTTGTTCCTGCTGCCTTTGCTTCTCCCATCTGTTTTAGCTGAATCATAAGTAGCTTAATGGATTGGAAGGATGGGCTGAGTGATGTTAGAAGCAGACAGTGAGCCTTTTACAGTGGTTTGTAAGTCCTGAGATAATGTAAAAGGGTGTAGAGGGAATGGAAAATTGCTCCATCTATGCTTTAAGTACAGATGCACATGTCTCTCTTACAGCATGCAGACTTTCTCCTTGCTCTGCAGATGAATGAGGAGCAGTATCAGAAGGTCAGTATCTGTAATGTGGTCCATTGACTTGAGCTCATACCCAGGCATTGTTTTGCACTTACTACTTTGTAGGCTCTTGCGGCTTCTGGAATGGAGCTTTTCCGAAGCTGCGTTTGCACTGTGCTGCTTTTGCTGAGCTGGCAAAACCTGTGCAGTGTGTGCTGGCTGACTTTTAGAAAAGGTAGACAAGAGCTGAGTCCAGCAAGACAGTAGTATTGATGCATGTAATGATCTGTAGTAATTCGGTCAGCTGCTGCTTGTATCTTTACTGGCCAGAACAAACAATGCAATAGAATAGTACCAGATTTGCTCTTGCTACTACCTTTATGGCTGCTGAAAACAGATTTGCTGTTATTGGAGCTTGGCCAGGGGAAAGGCCTTCCTCATTTGCAGAAGAGACTTTAAAAAGCAGAAGGTAATGTCTTTTCCCCTGAAACAAAGAGTTAGAGATCAGTTCAGCGGCTGTGGGTGACCTGTCCATTCTCAGTGCCCGTTTCTCTTCGTGTCAGAAGATGTCAGACCTCTGGAGAAGTGGGCATGCATGCTTTTGAGCAGTGGCAAGCTTCTCCACCCTTGCAGCGAAGAGGCCAAGGCAAGGTCTCTCCAGGTAGATGGGTAAACGTTCCTTTAGGGGGCAACAGATCTGAACTTTGGTTTTCCCCATATGAACGATGTCTGGTCTCTGCTCCTTCCCTGCAATTGCAGCTTCCCAAAGCCAAGATGCTTCTCTGCCTGTGAATGTTATTAAACACCATGTGTTTTGTAGCTTTTTGGAACCTGTCAAGCAGGACACACAGACATTAAGTTACTTAAAACTGCAATTTTGGTTGTGCTTACTGAGTTTTGACCACCCAATAGGCTGCCTAATGGAATGCTGTGTATCTGTTGCTCTTTTTTAGAGTGAATGTTGGCATCGTTTATGACGTGCAACTGTATGTGTGTATCTGTTGCTACAGCTATTGATGTTTTGGTGATGATGGTGCTAATACCTCTGTTTATGGCTGCAGGATGGTCAGATGATAGAGTGCCGCTGTTGTTACGGGGAGTTTGCGTTTGAAGAGCTAACGCAGTGTGCAGATGGTCACTTGTTCTGCAAGGAGTGCCTAATTAAATATGCTCAGGAGGCAGTCTTTGGCTCTGGGAAGGTAAGAATTTTCCCAACTGGGAAATTTCCTGAGGGGAAAATGGGTACACTGCTACTGGGAGCTCGCATTGCTGTTAGCATAGCATTGTTTACTTAAGTCAGCTTAACTGCACTTGTCGGGGAAATATTTGAATGAAGTTGTGTCCTGAAATCCAAACCCAGCAAGTCAGTCTCTCCGTCAAGTGAAGCCAACAGCTTCGCAGTGGGATCTCTGCTGAATAGGATTTCAGTTTTGCCAACCTCCGTCTTTCTCACTATATGCTTAGCAACTTGGATTGTTAGGAAAACTTTCCACAGCATTCATAGCAGCAACAACAACTTGCACTTGTCTATTTTTTATTTCCTAGTTAATAATGGTATCTGCACAGAGAACACGCTCTTATATCTGACTTGGCCAGTCTCCTAGCTAAAAGTCTTTGTCCTTCGCTGTATCGCTGTGATCCCAACTTAATTTGAGGCTGGTTCCTCTATGATACTACTAACTTCCTTAGTCTCCAGTTTAGCCAGCAATTATCCTGGTACTTCGCTGAGCTATAAACAAGTCATTAACCTGCTCTGAGGTGTGTACGCTCCTTTGCCTGGAGACAGGCAGATCAAACCATGGGATGTTTTTGAAGTTTGGGATCTCTATTTCATGTAAATATCCAAACTGGCCGCTGTATTTGGTATGACCGTATTGACAAGAATGCAACACACTGATGCAGAGACCGTACATGATAATGGGCTGTCCTGTGGTCACAGGGGACCTGGAATGAGCCAGCTGTGATCCCATCTACCAGCAGTATCTTCACACCCAGTGTTTATCCGAGGCCTGATCCATTTGATAACTGGTCTTGTTCTTTCCATAGCAAACCTGTTCTCTGGCAGCCATCTGCTTTCTTAAGCTCTGTTCTCTCTAAGGCTCTGCACTGCGGTTTATTTGGAAATGTTCTGGCTACCAAGTATTGCTTTTTGCTGGTATCAGACTGAACCTGAGTGCTCTCCTTCCAACCCTAGTCAGAGCTCAGCTGCATGGAAGGCAGTTGCTCGTGTTCATTCCCCACCAGCGAGCTGGAAAAAGTGCTTCCAGAGAACATCCTCTGTAAATACTATGAGCGGAAAGCTGAGGAGGAGGTGGCTGCTGCCTGTGCAGATGAGCTTGTCAGGTAAGTGTCCAGCAGAGGTGCAGACTGCACTTACTCGTGCAGAAGATTGTTCTCTGAAACCCTAAATGCGCGCTGACTCTGCCATGGGTAGCTTTCAAAGAGCCGTATCATAAATTCAGGCTTCTGCTTTCCTAGTTCTTTTATTATTTGGGCTGGTCTGCCTTTGCCCAGGAGCAGGTTAAAATTCAATAGACTCGTCTCCCCAAAGACGTGCTTGCCGACTCTGTGCTGATCCTCTAAATTACGTGATCGAAAGCAATGCTGAGCGTATAATATTTTGATTGCAAACAAGAAAGTGATCGAAGAAATACAAGCAAAAAAAAAAAAAATACCCTAGTCAGCACATCCTGGCGGCAAGCATTTGGTTGGCAGCATTATTAACTACCACGTAGCTCTCTGCCTAAATCTGCTTTCAGCAAAGATAGGTTTGGCACTCTGCATTAACGGCATCTTATTTTGGGCTGCAGGTGTCCATTCTGCAACTTCCCGGCTCTACTGGACAGCGATGTGAAGCGGGTCAGCTTCCCTA